TCCCCTCCGTATATTAGATAATAACTTTTGATGATAAAGGAATCTCGGGGCATTCGAATCATATATCTACCTTCTTTGGGGCAAAGTAGGGAGTTTTTGAAATTTCGAATCTCTAGTTGTGATGATTTTCATTCGTCAATAACTCATTACTTTTAAAATAATTCCAGGAAATTTGTAAGTTCTGTCCAAGACACCACGGAATCCAGGATAATCCCGCTATACAAACTCACCACAGTAAATTTAATCCGAAAATACATTTCTGTCCTTGATCTATTTCAAACATACTTGACGCATTATTACAAAAGCCGCGTCGTTGGATCCCAAATCTCAGCATTGAACCAGCTTCCAATCAAATCTCAGAATTCTACCGAATCCCAAGCACAGCTCCCGAGTTCTTTGATGTTCGTGTCATCATTTCAACAATTTGTCAAAGCAAGGAGCTCCATGAAGTGTCACGAAAGTCAACTTGTTTGGTTTAGATATTTGTACATACTGTTTTCTAGATATATGGTTATTAATGTGCTAGATAGGGTATTGATTTAGGAATTTAAAAAACCTTTGTTGAGATAATTTCTTGTAGTAGCGTAAGATTACTTAATTTTTCTTCGGCGTTGTATTCGTTATTCAATAGCCTGTTCTCCGTGTGTAAAGGTCAAAGAAATATTTTAGGCAATGAAAATTAACAGCTAGGATTAAAATAATAATATAAAAAATGCAAACATACCATCTGCAGTAGGCGTAGACTGTCAACTTTTGTGAAATCGATCATTCAAGAGATCTAGGTTGTCTCGTTGACCAGATTATGCGTGAATCCAGAATGGATCATGCATTTTGTCACTATCAACGTACAAATATTTTTATGCGAACTCGTATAATATCCAGATTTCTGCATTCGGGCTTTGTTTACTAGAGTTACCATTAGTTGAATATACAGGTTAAGCTGGCAGTTTCTTAGGGACGTGACGAATAACAAATATACAAATCACCTTTTGGTTTGTGCCAGTGATACACACACCCTTTTTTTCTCGGTGATTAATGCATTGTGTTCCAAAAAACTTCTATTCAGAAAGAATGAGGTAATTTCTTTTATCTCCAGTGCTTGGTTATTTATTATTTACCTGTTGTTGGTAAACCATAGTGACAGATGATTCGTTGTCAAAATTTTTTGTCGGCCCACCCGTCATTCGAAAGAAAACATGCATACACCATACTAAATTAGGATGTTTGATTATTTTTTTTTTTTTAAAGATCCATATGTGTAATCAATTATTTAATCTTCGGGCAAAAAACATTCGATGTTGTGTAAAAAAAAAGATTTGCGAAAAAAAAAAAAAAAAGAAAGGTGTGGGGTGATAATTTTAAATACAACTATAGCCTAATTTAGGTATACAGTACACAAGGTACGACTGAATGGTAAATGACATATAAGTAGAAATTACAGGACAAAAATTGAAAGATTTACTACTGTTTTTATCAATTTGTTTTTTTAACACCGAAACACCGACATACTATTTGCCGACTGACCGACCGACCTACATGCAGTCACGTAAAACAATATACATCAAGAACTTTATATGTAATTATTATTTGTCGCACCACCTAACCTTCAAAATAAATTATTCGTTATATAAGGTTGTTTGGCTTGTAGCTTTGTGTTCCAAGAAGAAAAAAGAGGGCGAGCGAGATCAATATATGCGTCTCGTGATTGATGTGTTTTTGTTTTATGCCGCGGTTATTTGTACACCAATGTCTTTTTGGTTAGGCCAAATCTTATTTCTGCTGCAGTGACAGAATCGTTGTCTTGCAATTCGTTGACACCTAGATTCTCAACATTTTCCCTATTCTCTCCACTCTTCCTCACTCAATGAGGTTAATTACATTACGTACATAAATCCTCATACACATTTCGGCATTCTTCCTGCGTTAGTTCAAAAAATAACGCTCATTCAAAGTATTCTGTTTGCAACATTTTTACCAATTCGGTAATTGACCATTGTGCTAATATGGAAAAATGGAGAGCTTTTTTTCTTTTTTTTTTTTTTTTATTTATTGCATTTATACGCTTGTGCACCACACCCAGCGGTTTCTTCGCTAGAATAATACTGTGTACTGCTAATATTCCTCTACACAACAATAACCTTAATTGATAATGTCGACAAATCTCTGATAAGTCATCCTAAACAAACCACCAAATTCTTCTCCGGCGTTTCATTGTGACTTGATATGTGTAAATTATTTACCCATGAAACTCCATTCTTTTTAGATGGACCCGGCTCAAAGGAAACATAAAAACGTACAGAATTGATTACATGATTAATCATTTATAGCATAGGGCGAATGAGGTGGAGAGATTTAGTTGACAATGTTCTCCAGTTCACATCATGCGCTGGATAATGAATGTCACGTGTGCAAGGAACAAAGAAAGTACATGAGTTCGAATGAAGGTGAGGGTCACAATGTCAATACTTAAGATTTAATGGCAAATAGAAAGAAGCAGAATTTACGAATCATTCTAAATTTATCTTGGAAAAGAAATCATTTCCACTTCATTCTAAAAAAAAACCAATGATCCATCTATCCGCCGACGACGAATTTTTTGTTCAACATCATATCTATGCTACATCTTACGACACATTCGTGTAATATTCTTATTAAGCAAATTTCCGTGGTTTATGTATGCTGATTATATGACCTGGTGCCCAAAATTCTACTATGCTAAATCGGCATATTCGTAAGTTTACAATGGTCTCACGCGAAAACAATTTATACGGATTTATATAGACGTACAGTACAGTACAGTACAGTACATACTTTACGCCGTGTAATCTATGACAATTTACTCCATGTACCCCGTGATCACGCTAGGCGAATAATTTTCTATTATAGATTAATGAACTTTCTTATACAGTAAAACATTAATGCAAAATATGGAATATCACCGACGACCCCTGCGTGTCACCAGGCGTTACCCAGTGAGTCCAAGAAAGTTGCTAATTTACACAAACCCTACCTATTCATCTATCTTTTCCTTGCCTACTCTCGTTCCCTCCATCTGCATTATGAGTGTCAGCGAGTAAATCAATACCCTGGTCACTTTATGTACAATAGGGAGTGAAACAAAGTATACTGTGTCTATTTACATTATTATGGAACGCAATGTAAAGGATTTGAACACGATATAAATTGATGGTGCACATTATACAAACATGTAAAAAAGGACGAAACAAAGAATTGTTGGAATATAGATTTATTAATTTGATTGACACGTACGGGGAACGCTGTAAATTGATACACAGCGTGAGTAAATAGGAAAGAAAGCTAAAATAAATTGACGAACAATAAATCTCTTCACGAATCAAATCCATCCATCATTGGCTAATCAAAAATTGTAAGACATCTGGATCAGAAAGAAATCTGATCTTCTCTCTCTACGTGACGAAGCTCAATGTCACTTTGACCTGAGAAGGACCTGAGTCTAACTGTATGGTACACATTAAACTCTTCAGGCGCATACAGAAAGGGTCAGCAAATTCGCAACGGATCCAACACGAACGATGTAAACAACGTCGAGAATAAATTCGATGTTCGAGTATATCAACTCTTCTTAAAATAGAAACTCACTTGTCATAACAGATGCATCATTTATTGGGTCATTTAACCCGGGAAAAAACATCTTTCAAGTTCCTTGTTCGACCGGGCAATGATTACATGAATACGCACGCATATACTGTATGTGGTCAATAATGATGCAAAAAGAAGGAAAAAATTAGAAATCATAATTGGACCTATTTCATGGGTTGCGGGCGTTAATCGTCAATGATTTGATTAAATGCGTGCTATAATAACATACTGATTCCCTTCGTTCAATGAACCTCAAAGAATTCACGCAACTAATCGTAACCTTTCAAAAAAACGAACGATCACCTTAATATGTACAAGTGATTCAAGCATGAGGGGAAACAGTCAAATCTCTCGTAAAGAATATTGAAGAATGTAGATATGATCACTCGATGTCACGACACTTGAACCGATGTCATGTATCCTATTTCATAACAACCAGTTTACCATCATTCTTTACCGTAAATAATTTGATTGTTGCATAATGACGCTTCCGTTTCCCCTACAATCTCGCGTGGCGTAAAATACATCGGAATTCTCTCAAAGGTAAACCAATTATGGTATGAAGCGCGTAATTAACAGGACCTGATGTTCTTTCGTTCTTTCGTTACATTTACGCCACCTCTAACTATTTCTATCAATGACGAGTTTATAAAAGAATTTGTTTAATTTATTCTTGTACGAACGTTGAAATGAGTGGCAAACAAGTAATGAACATTTTGTGTAAGCGATATCCCAGAATGGCTTGTTTATTTTTTGTTTGCTGGAATGTGCCAGTATGCGAATACAAAGAAAACTTAAATTCAAGGATTCAGAGACGACTCAGAACTCTTCTTTTTTTATTCGGATCTATAATTCCAAAATGATACTTATTTGACATGATATTTATAATACACAAACAGGACGGGATTCCACCGAACGCCAGCAATTTCATCACATTGAATGAGCTGTGGATTTTCTTTAAAAAAATATGGCAAATATTTTCAATCAAGAGACCTATTGAATTTCGTTGAACATTATTTTGAGGCACCAAAAAGAGAATTCTACGTCGAAAAGCCTTCCACACAGTATACTGTATTTGTTAGATGATGGAAAGACAAATATTTCCTA